CCCCCTTGACCTGTCCGTCCTCCCTGGACTGACCTATCCCCTCCCTAACTCCCCACCTACACTCACCTTTACTGGCCCCATCCCCGCCTCTTCGACCTGTTTGTTTCCTCTCCACCTATCCTCTCTTCTATCCGCCTCCCACTCTCTCCCTATTTATTTCAGAACCCCCTTCCCCTCCCCCTTTTCTGATGAAGGGTCTAGGCCCGAAACGTCAGCCTTTCTGCTCCTATGATGCTGCTTGGCCTGCTGTGTTCGTCCACCCCTGCACCTTGTTGTCCGGTATACTGAGGACAGTTGTCATTCCCCAACTGATATCCCAGCATGGAACATGCCGGCTCTATACAAGTTAGTGTAATGTCAGGGCCTGCGTTTACCCATGTATTTACTGAGGGCAAATGATTGGCTTTTCAACTTGATTTTCAAATATTCAAAGCTGTTTTTGCTTTTGAAATAAAAGGTACATTTCAAGCCACTCCATTCCTCTCAAAGAAAACAAAGATTTGTGCATGCTGTAAACAAAAACAGAAAATTAGGACAAAATCTGTGGCTACTAAAGGATGTCAGAGACTAGGAATTCCTGTCTCAAATGCCTGTGCACTATTTACAAGGTATATGCCAATGGTGTGATAGAATACTGTCCATTTGCCTGGATGGATGTGCCTCCAACAGTACTCAAGAAGCTCAGCATGAGAGATTTTAATGAGGTGAGCTAATTGGATCTCATAGAATATAAATTCCCTGATTGAGGCTGTTAATCTGGTCCAATCAGGGAGCCCTGGCTGACCTAGAAAGGGTGAATTGGGTGCAGGCAGGTTGGAGAATTGCCTCATGAATCTGCTCCTGGGCCTGGCCATTAATAGGTCCAGGCAGCGGGCTGTTGGGGGAGGAAGTGGTGGTCATTATGGCTGACTGCCTGCCCCTCTTCTGTGGCTATGTCTGCGCCCAGGTGTCCCTGGAGAAGGAGCACGCGGTGAGCACTGGTGCTCTTGATGCCTTTCAGGGGAGGTGGACACTGCGGGGTGTGGAGCACATTGTTTTCCCCACAAACTCTATTTTGATTTGGTCCCTACCCTCCTCCTCCCCCTCCCCCTCCCTTTTTCTTTCACATAGGCATTGCCACTACAGGGGCTCTGCTTGATACTTGAAGGGTGACTTTTTCACACCTAGGGTGGTGCGTAAATGGAATGAACTGCCAGAGGAAGTAGTAGATGCAGGTACGGTTACACCATTTAAAAGACATTTGGACAGGTACATGAACAGGAAAGGTTTAGAGGCCAAACGCAGGAAAATGGGACCAGTTTAGTTTGGGAAGTCTGGTTGGCATGCACTGGTTTGACTGAAGGGTCAGTTTCTGTGCTGTATGACTCTGACATATAAGGACAGCTCCATACCATCCATCATCCAATCGCCTAGCAGAAAGAAGGTACAAACTTTGAAGGCTAGATTATGGATACTGCCTACAGCCTCACTAGATTCCAAACTGTCATGGTTTTGTTTGATTATAGAACCACCCCATGTGCAACTTCAGGTAGTACTGGCAGAGTTGCTAATGGGTAGAAAGCTAAGTCTGATCTTCCTGGACCTGAGATGGACATGACGGAAGTAGTCGCCTCGGCACCTTTGCCATCAGAAGAAAACAGTGAAATTCTACCTCGACTCCTGATGCAACAGGTGAGCTTTAAAGCGTTATACACTGCCTGTGTCAGACGCTGAGTTGGAGGAACCTGAAAGTGTGTGGAGGCTCTCCAAGGAGAAGGACTGGCATATGTCTACAGACTCCGAAGGGAGGGATGTAGTGACTGTAACAGGGTCAGTCAGCTGAATCTCTTAGAATTGGGGCTGTTAACCTGGTCCAATCAGGGAGCCTCGGTTGACAAATGAAAAGGGTACTGACACACTGGTGCCTGACTCTTGAGTGAGACAGTATTATAATCAAGGACTGTTCATGTGTAAATAAAGGGTGATTTGATAACACTGGCCTCTGTGGAGTTATTTCAAACACTGTCAAACAAACTAGCTCTGCTCAGCTAACATCCCATCCACCACCTCCACCTTCACTCCCGTTACCACTTACACTGGCTGCAGAGTGGCAATCAACCATCTGCAAGATGCACTGCATTAGCTCACCAAGGCTTCTCTGACAGTATCTTTCAAATCCATGACATCTTCCATCTAGAAGGACAAAGGCAGCAGATGTGTGGGAACAGCAACCTCTAAGTTCTCTTCCAAGTCACACACTGATCCTGACTTGGAAATATTTTGCCCAAAGTCATCAATTCCCCGTGATAGTTCACTCACTTCCTTTAGGGAAACTTTCTGGTCAGTGGTGCCCAAATGTGGGACACAGTCGAGAACATAAATTTTGTGGAGAATTGCACTGGAGTCTTGCTGCTCCAATGCAAGGTATTAGAGATCCACTTTGCTGCATCAGCTTTCTTCTCCACCCACTGCATCTCTGAATGTGTGTTTTAAAGGAATATTGTTTCCACTTTGCTTTTCCTTACACCAGAAAAGTGGGAATCAGAATAATGTTTTTATTTTTCCCAATTCCGTGAAAGCAGAAGATGATTTTTCTGATTCCCAACAACTTTTATCATTTATACACCTTAAACAACTGATTAAATTCTTTGTGGGTAGCTGAATAAAGATGATATGAACCTCTACTGATGAGGTGATAATTTGCTTCTCAGGGCTTATGTCACTGTTTTCTTATATATTTAGAGAGAAATACACATTCAAAAGTGGCGATCTGGCAAATCAAAGCTGATCCTTCTAGAATCCTAGTTCTGCAACATATTGTCTAGCTTTGTTGTGACCAGCCTCTAGGTTCTCTACTGTACTATGTGCCTGACAAATTATTCTCTAGGTTTCCAACTCTTTGTTTGTTCTTTTGTCTTCCTTTTCTTTGTGTACATCAAAACATGAGTTTACTTTGTGTTGATGGTGTTTAATGTTCAAATACTTAAAGACAACTTTGCCACTACCTAGCTACAGCTTGCTAGATCAGTCAGTAGAGCATGAGACTCTTAATCCCAGGGTTGTGAGTTTGAGCCCCACACTGGGTGCCTTCATTAGGGTGGCATGGTGGTTTAAGTGGTTAGCACTGCTGCCTTCCAGTAGCAGGGACCTGTGTTTGATTCTAACCACAGGTGACTGTCTGTGTGGAGTTTGCACGTTCTCCCTGTGTCTGTGTGGGTTTCCTCCCACAGTCCAAAGATGTTAAGCTTAGGTGGGTTGGCCATGCTAAATTGCCCCATAGTATCCAGGGATGTGCAGACAAGGTGGATTAGCCATAGGGAATGCAGGGTCCTGGGGGTGGGGCTAGGTCTGAGTGGGATGCTCTTTGGAGGGTCAGTGCAGACTGTGGAAAAGGAGACCTGCACCTCCACGAAGAAACCGCTGTCACAAAAATAGTGTATGAGCTAAATGACCAATTCTATTTTTGTGATCCTTCCTCCTAATTCTTTTGGTGATGTTGCTGGACTAGTAATACAGAGACCGGGCTAATGTTTGTGGGGCATGGTTCAAATCCTGCCACTGCAGCTGGTGGAACTTAAATTCAATCTGAAATATAAAACTAGTGATGGTGACCAAAAAGCCATCTTTGGTTTTTAACAACAATCTGGTTCACTAATAATCTTCAGGGAAGGAAATCTGCTTTCCTTACTTCATTTGGACAATATGTGAATCCAGACCTACAGTATTGTGCTGAATTCTAAGTGCCCTCAAGCTACTCAGTTCAAGGGAAATTCAGGATGGGAAGCAAATGCTTGCCTTGGCAGTGACACCCACATTCTGTGAAAGACTAAAACTCCAAATTGGATATGAACCAGGTGGTAGTAGAATGGGGTGACTTGGATTACACCTACCAGAGATGCTTAGCTTCCCATCTTGTGATGTCTCTGAAAAGAGACCTTGCTACCTCCTTGCAGAAGTAGACAGGAAACTGGACAAAGTTATTCACAAATCCCTCTTCATAAAAGTTTTGCTAGTTCTCAAATCGTTTCAAGCGCATTGACTTTTCCAATCTTCATGGTCAAAAGCCGATTTTGCATTTGTTAGCATATCATTAATACTTGTGAACACCTCAGCCTGCTGAAATTATGTTCACAGGTGCAATCTTATCAGCCAAAAATGGGAAACGTGTTAACAAACCTGGCTCTTTATTTGACGTGTGTAATGGGAGGAAAGCCTTCTTCCTCCAAGCTCAGTAAGTACAAATGTCTTCAGCTACTTAACTCCGTTGTCAGCCTAAATGCCTACGATATTAGGGATGAAGCCTATCCATGTTGATCAGCTCATGAGAAGTCTCAGTCATATGCTGCCTTGCTTGTTGAACCTGCTCAACTGAGGTAGCTAAACTGCCTAACGCCAGCAAATTTAAACAGAGAAAACAAGGCAAACACAAAAGGGGGCTCAACTGAAAAGACCATCCTTTGTGGTTGTGCCCTTGGCCTATGTGTACTTTCAGTGAAAAATAATCAGATTTTACACTGTTCTAGCTGCAGTAAAAGGTCATTGAGCTGGTGGTGTGAGGTGCCTCAGTCTTGTAGTTCCTTTAATGTTTTAAGTGTGAATTCTGGCAGATATGTGAGGCACAGTGCATGCATCCAACCTCCTAAGTGCATTGGCAACCTTACAATGCAAAGTCACATTTAAAGGAGCAGAAAACATTGAGTAGACAGTGGTGCATACCCCGGCAAAATGCAGACGATCATTCTTCCTTTTGCAGCACTGGAGCCAGGTTGTCTATAGCGACCCATGGGTGCTGACCTGCATCCACCTCTATCCAGGCTGACTTTGTTGGGATGGCCTCCTATTGCCATCCATAGGGGAAAAAATGCTCCTTTCTCTCCTGTACTCTTTAGGAGAACCTTCGGGGTGGCATCATTAACATATGGCATGGCTTTTGTCTGGTCTATGACATACCCAAGGCTAGGTGATAGTGATAAGCAGAGGTTTAGTGATTCTCCTGTTTTTTTTTTATTATTTGTTCACAGGATGTGGGAGTTGCTGGCCAGGCCAGCTTTATTACACGTAAACCCCCAATTAAGAGTCAACCACATTGCTGTGGATTTGGAGTCCCGTAGGCCAGACTGAGTAAGGATGGCAGATTTCCTTCCCTACAATACATTAGTGAACCGGGTGTGATTTTATGACCATCAACAATAGACCATTGGCTAATTTTTTAATTGAATTCAAATTTCTCTATTAACCCAAGAGTATTAATCTGTAGCTCCAGATTACAAATCTAGTGACATTTCCACTATGCCATGGCCTCGCCTAGGATTGCAGAGAGTCAAGCACTGTTTGGGCTTGATTCACTCCAAGTGATATCAAAAAACAGTTGCAGGCACCAGATACTGCAAATGCTATGCGCCCCAACAACATTCCGACAATAGTATTGAAGACTTGTGCTTCAAAAGTTGCTTCTCTAGAACTTGCTGCTCCCCTGGCTAAGCTGTTCTCGTGCAGTTTTAACATTGGCATCTACCTGACAATGTGGGGAATTGCTCAGGTGTGTCCTATACACAAAAAGCAGGACAAATCCAACCTGGCCAGTTACCGCCCCATCAGTCTACTCTTAATCATCAGTAAAATGATGAAGGTGACATCAAGCAGCACCTGCTCAACAATAACCTACTCACTGATGTCCAGTTTGGGTTCTGCCAAGGCCACGCAGCTCCTGCCCTCATTACAGCTTTGGTTCAGGCATGAACAATAGCACTGAATTCTGGAGGTGAGGTGACAGTGACAGCCCTTGACACCAAGGCTGCACTCTCCAAAGGCTGTCCACCATCCACAAGGCACAAGTCAAGAGTGTGACAGAATACCCCCCCATTTGCCTCAATCGTTGCAGCTCCAACAACACTCCAGAAGGATGACACCATCCAGTATTAAGCAGCGGGCTTGATTGGCACCTCATCCACAAGCAGCCATCCCCTTCACCACTGATGCCCAGTAACAATGGTACTATCTACAAGATGCACTGCAGAAATTCACAAATGATCTTTAAAAGGCACCTTCCAAATCCCCGACCACTTCCAAATAGACAGACAAGGGTGGCAGATACATGGTAACACCACGCCCTGCAATTTCCCCTCCAAATCACTCCCCATCCTGATTTGGAAATATATCTATGTTCCTTATATATGGCTGGGTCAAATTCCTGGCATTCCCTCCCTAAGGGCATTGTGGGTGTACCTAAAGCACATGGACTGCACCAGTTCAAAAAGGCAGTTTAGCACCACCTTCTCAAAGCGCAACTAGGGACGGGCTGCCCAACCAGCAAGACTCACATCCCACAAGTGAATAATAATAAAAAAGGTGCCTTTTAAATACACTGCTCAAATGTTAGAGTACAGAGTTCCCACTGGCTTCAAAACTTACTGCCCCACAAGATCTGCTGTTTTATTTACATATGCATATGTAATGAGCTGAGAATAATGTAAGTGCATGGGAAAACCTGGGCTGCCTTCACACTTAGTCTCAAAAAAGAACATTTTGCTGTGTATTTCAATGTAATAGTATGTGTTCGAATAGATTAGAAGTCAAAATGAGGAATTGCCTTGCGCTGTCTTCCTAGCAAAGGTTAGCATAGGTTTACTGGTACAGCAGGGAGTGAAAGTGTAGTTGTCAATTTCTAGCATATTGTTTTAACTTTAGATTTTCAACAGTCGCACCAACTCACAGTGCCTAATCCGGTTAAAGTGTGACTCTTCGCTTAGTCTTTGTGAAAACATCTTTTTGAAGCAAATATCTTAAATAGTGCCATTTTAAGCTTTGAATTCTTTTGTTCGAGTTTATAATGGTACAGCAAACCACATTTATTTTTGGAAGGAGAATCTCTGACAGGAAAAAGTAATTTTGCTGTCAACTGAGCATCAGCTGGGGATTTGTTTGGAGGTATGTATTAAATTGATTGTTAGTATAGATGAATCAAAATGCTTCCTCCTTGGGACATTAGTGATAGATACTACAAGGTATCCGTAGCTGTCATGAAGACAGTGAGTCATCCACAAAGTGCAACTTGAGAGATATGTGGGCCAGAACAGAGTAGTTAAAAAAACAAAAATTGCTGAAAATATTACGCAGGTCTGTGGAAACAAAGAGAGTTAATGTTTCAGGTTGAGATTATCTTTAATTTCATTGTCACCTTGACCTAAAACCTAACTGTTTCTCACTTCAGATACTGCCTGACCTGCTGAGCATTTCCAGCACTTTTTGTTTTTATTTCAGATTAGGGGCATCCACAATATTTTGCTTTTGTTTAAATGTAGCACTTGCAGGTTCCATACTCTGAAAGCCAGTAATGGGCCATCTCATTGTGCTTTTGTTTTATGACAATCCAACAGTTCTTCTGATCAGAGATAGTAGGAACTGCAGATGCTGGAGAATCCGAGACAACAAGGTGCAGCGCTGGATGAACACAGCAGGCTAAGCAGCATCATAGGAGCAGAAAGGCTGACGTTTCGGGCCTAGATCCTTCATCAGAAAAGGGGGAGGGGAAGGGGGTTCTGAAATAAATAGGGAGAGAGTGGGAGGCGGATAGAAGATGGATAGTTTTCTTTCTTTCCTGGCTCTTGGTTACAGTTCAGCTAAGCCAATATACCTGATAGGGGCACCTCACTACTCACTGTCCTCCTAGTGTAGTTCTCTAGAACTGGTACTATCTCCCCTTCTGAATGGGCTGATTCATTGGAACACATCAATAGCATTAATATTGTTATCTATTATGTATTATATGTGTATTTAATAAGGTAATGAGAAATCATATTTGAGAGAAGGGAACATTTTATTTGATAGCTTTTGTTGAACCGTAACATTCTCTGCAAGTATCATTTATCTGTGAAGTAGCTATTAAAAATGATCTCAACACTTCAAATTGATCAGCAATGTAGTACACTCATTGGTGCTGTCAAGGAGCAGAGATGTGCTGAGAATATGCACTGTCAATGCGATAACCTATTGTTTACATTGGTTTTAATTTGACTAGTTCAAATCTTCAACTTCTTTTCCAGTCATTTAGTCACTTCTTTCACACTGTTTATTCTGGGAATTGTATAAATTGTGTAATAGATAATAACTACCCTTAGATTGAGATTAGCTTTGTTACTGTGTCGCCTGGTAACCCCTTTACTCCAGACCATAAAGGAGAAAGTAAACTCAACGTGTAAGGCAAATGCTATTTCAATTTAATGTGGATCAGAATAAAATTTAATTAGCTGGGCATTAAAGAATTTATGTAGTTTCTTAAGCTACTCATGATTAAACTCCGAACTCCGATGGGCACCAGCATTACCATTCATACAACTTCCGTTTTACATACAATAAAGGAAGGATTTCGTGTAAATGCTTGTCAAGAGATTTTAGACTTTATTAAGCTAATTAATGAAATGCAGAACGTACACCATTTTTACCACTTATAGACTCATTTATATCACTTGATAATATAATCAAGAGGTTTCCACAGTTTGGGAAGGATTACATAAGTGCAAAGACGTTATTAATTTAGTCAAATTACTTATGGAAGGCTTAACAGAAGCTTTTCGAGAGCTACTCTGATGTGACATTTTATTTCATTGTCTCGTTGTTGGAGGTTTCTCAGTTCAGGAGCCTTTTTTTTTCTTTTTAAAAAGAAATTAAATGCTTCTTCAGCAATTAAAACTCTTACAGAATCATGGAATCATACAGTACAGAAAAGGCCCTTTGGCCCATGGAGTATGTACTGTCAAAAATACGTTGCTGCCTATGCTGCTCCCACTTTCCTGTACTATGCCTGTAGCCTTGAATGTTATGACACTTCAAGTGCTCATGCAGTTGCTCTTTAAAGGTTGTGAGGTTACCCGCTTCAACTGCCCTCCCAGGCAATGCATTCCAGATTTCCACCATTCTTTAGATGTAAAAAGTTTTCCTCAAATCCCCTCTAAATCTCCTCCCTTTCTCTTTAAAATTATGCCCTTTTGTTATGGACTCTTCAGCCAAGGAGAAGGGATATTTTCTATTCGCTCTCCAAGCCCTCATAATTTTATACGTTCCTATCAAGTCCCCTCTCAGTCTTCTGTGCTTCAAAGAAAATAACTTTGTTCTTACTGACAAGAAGTATTGACTGTGCTGTCTGCCACAGCAAATCCTCAAACACAGGAGTAGTTTCATTCAGAAATGTCAGCATTTTTGATTTTGGGGAACAGTGCTTTTATATTGGTACGTTGATATACTGGTGCACCAAACTACAAGTGAAAAATTAAGTGTTAGCCCAGGAACAGTTTTTTTTCATGACACTTGTTTAATGTCAGAATAGATATTTTCTAATCCACCTATTCAGAGATGTTATTACATACAGGCCTTCTAACCCAGAGATAGGAACACTACCACCGTACCATTTGAGGAAGTGGCAAAGTTGACAGATAAGGGAAGGGCTGTAGATGTTATATACATGGACTTCAGTAAGGTGTTTGATAAGGTTCCCCATGGTAGGCTGATGGAGAAAGTGAAGTCGCATGGGGTCCGGGGTGTACTAGCTAGATGGATAGAGAACTGGCTGGGCAACAGGAGACAGAGTTGTAGTCGAAGGGAGTTTCTCAAAATGGAGAACTGTGACCAGTGGTGTTCCCCTGGGATCCATGTTGGGACCACTGTTGTTTGTGATATATATAAATGATCTGGAGGAAGGTATAGATGGTCTGATTAGCAAGTTTGCAGATGACACTAAGATTGATGGAGTAGCAGATAATGAAGGGGACTGTTGGAGAATGCAGCAGAATATAGATAGATTGCAGAGTTGGGTGGGGAATTTCAGATGGAGTTCAATCCAGGCAAATGCAAGGTGATGCATTTTGGAAGATCCAATTCAAGAGCGAACTATACGGTAAATGGAAAAGCCCTGGGGAAAATTGATGCACAGAGAGATCTGGGTGTTCAGGTCCATTGTAGCCTGAAGGTGGCAACGCAGGTCGATAGGGTGGTCAAGAAGGCATATGGCATGCTTTCGTTCATCAGATGGGGTATTGAGTACAAGAGTTGGCAGGTCATGTTACAGCTGTATAGGACTTTGGTTCGACCACATTTGGAATACTGCATACAGTTCTGGTCGCCACATTACCAAAAGGATGTGGATGCTTTGGAGAGGGTGCAGAGGAGGTTCACCAGGATGTTGCTTGGTATGGAGGGTGCTAGCTATGAAGAGAGGTTGAGTAGATTAGGATTATTCACATTAGAAAGACGGAGGTTGAGGGGGGACCTGATTGAGGTCTACCAAATCATGAGAGGTATAGGCAGGGTGGATAGCAAGAAGCTCTTTCCCAGATTGGGGAGTTCAATTACTAGGGGTCATGATTTCAAGGTGAGAGGGGAAAAGTTTAAGGGAGATATACGTGGAAAGTTCTTTACGCAGAGGGTGGTGGGTGCCTGGAACGCGTTGCCAGCGGAGGTGGTAGAGGCGGGCACGATAGCGTCATTTAAGATGTATCTAGACAGATACATGAATGGGGAGGGAGCAGAGGGATACAGATCATTGGAAAATAGGCGACAGGTTTAGATAGAGGACCTGGATCGGCGCAGGCTTGGAGGGCCAAAGGGCCTGTTCCTGTGCTGTAATTTTGTTTGTTCTTTGTTCATTCTAAGGTTAGAATAGAATTTGTTTCGATATCAGATTTAGGTGCAACATGTAAACTGTACGTGGTAGTGGGTGCCCCAACCAGAGGTTAATTGCATTAGTCTTTGCACTGAGTACCCTATAAACTTACTTGTAATATGTGAATTATCTGTCCACTTAAGCTTTTAAAGAGGTTTTCATAACGATTACAAATTTTTGACAATGCAATGATAGCATAACTAAATGTTGATCAGAGACTGCCAGTTTAGAAAATGCATTAAAAATGTTTTGAAAAGTCTCCCTGCTTGCACAGCCAGTTTAAAGCTATAAATATTTGAACCACACAGATAAGGAAAGTTGCTGGTTGATCTGCACTTATCTTGGCTGGGACAGTGGTGAAAGCAGAGCTGTTTCAAAAATCAGGCAAGATTCCCAACACTGACCACATGCAGTGAGACTTCAGTGTTGTAATGAAGTTGTAGAATGTTCATCAGGTGAAGTCAGGGGCTACACTTCAAAAGGTTGTGATTTCAAATAAACCTGTTGGACTATAACCTGGTGTTGTGTGACTTCTGATTATTGACAACAGCATGTTTCAGTCACTGTAGTATAAGTGCAGTTTTATGGTGCACCACCAGATGTCATCATTTTGTGCTGTGAACAAACTCATTTTGCATTAATCTAGCAGAGCTTCAGTGTGGCAACTGTAAATTACTGAATACTTTGGCAAATTGGATCCTATTTTGAGTGGAACTTCTTTTTTAAGCTCACAAAGGTTGAGGGTTCAAACTCAATACCAGAGACCTGAGCACATAGTTTAGGCTTCCACTTCAATGGTATGTCACTGATGGCATTATCTTACAGAAGCCACATCTGGCCTTTGATAAAATACCCCATGTCACTATCTGAGGAGGAGCAGGGGTGTTCTTGAGGTAACCTAGCTAATATTCCTCCCTCATTCAAAGTTACTAAAACAGATCAGTTTGGAAATTGTATCTAGTGCAGTGCACATCTAATGAAGCTGGTGGAGGGTCAAGGAAAATTTATCCCCAGCCTCATTTTCATATTATCAGCTAACTACAGACACTGCTCACTGGCTGTGAAGTCCTAGAAGGTAGTGCAGTAATTAGGAAGGGTTGGGAGAGGGATACATTTGAGAGTGGAGTCAACTTTGGACTAGCAGTAAGAACTGAATTTGATAAGACAAGGAAAGCAGTTGAAATGGAACTTTCCAGTGGCAGGTTCAGCAGGTCTTTTAAGATTCCCAGGTTTAGCTACCAAATGCCTTAAGAAACTGTCTGCCATGTTCATGAAAGTTAAATTTTGCAAAGCATGTTGTAGTAATTGTAATGAAGCCATCCAGGTGGACAGCCTGATGGGGGCTGTTAACCTGGTCCAATCACGGAGCCCTTGCTGACAGATATAAACAGGAGTGCCAGAGGTTCTGTTCACTCTGAGAGCTGGTTCTAAGGACCAGCGTCAAGTTCTGTGCATGTGTAAATAAAGGGTGACTTGGTGATTGAAAACTGGCTTCTGTGGAGCTATTCCAGGTATATGTCAGTTTCTGTAAAAGGAGCTTTAAACTGGTGTGCAAAAGGATAAAGCCAAACTATCTTTCAGGTTGTGTCCTAGTGACCAACAGAGGACTTTAGGTGTGGAATAAGTACAGGCATAACATCTGATATGTTGACTTCTTACACACCAGTAAGACTGACGCAGCACGATCCTATCAAATGGAAGAAAACATAGAAAATAGGAGCAGGAGGAGGCCATTCAGCCTTTTGAGCATGCTTTTGTGAGCTTGCTATGTGGAAGTTGGTTTGTAATGTTTTGGGAAGACATGAAAGGTACCAGACAGGAACAAGATTCTCTTCCGACTTGTAAGATAGGTCCATTTTCATACAGGCACCTTCTGGTTATGTTGTTAGAAGTTTTCTAATTTTCTGTGAAATTGTTCTGGTGGAAAGTGCGTCCAGTTACTGTTTGTACCCAGACTCTTTTACTCAAAAAGCAGTTGAATACTCCTGATTTAATTTTGTAATGCTGGTTCTGTAATGTAATTATTTAATTTTGTCTACATTTTGTTTTGGCAGAAGAAAAGTTTAGACAGCCATTTTCACACTACGGGAAGGACGATGTTATGAATCAAAAGCTTTCAATCTTGCAGGAGGACATCACCAAACTGGAAATTGATACAATTGTCAATGCAGGTTAGTACATTGGCAGCATCATGACTTGCAGATGTACAAGTGGAATGGCATAACGACTGCAGCATTGATTGGATTAATCCTGCCATCCACTCAATGGTGCAAATCTATAGGAATAATGACCTGATTAAAGGCAAAAAGAAAGTAGGTTAATAAAAACAAAAACGCCTTTCACAATTTCTGGAAAATTCTGGGAACTTGCCCTCATTCCCAGACTTCACCCATAGTCGCTGGCAATCTGGACCTCAAAAGTTGAGGTAATTCAATCCTAGTTTCACTTAAATTACTTTCTCATTCTTTGCATCACATTCTTAGTTTTGTGAATAGGGACATTTTTAATGTTGTTGTGTCATTGTTGGATTACAGTGTTTTAGAAATCATCACATCATGACCTATTGCCATCATCAATTTAAGTTAGATATCACATTAGTGGGATTATGGATTTCAACTTTATACGTGGCCACCAAATCTCTATGATGAGAATCTGTTTGGTGTGCAAAGAGGGAGGCTTCCCCAGCTGAAAATAACCAAGCAATCTCCAGAAGAATGTGGATGCTCCTGATTCATGACAGTTTGTACAAGTAAGCAACCTACCCTTCCAGTTTCAGAAAGGGAGACTGTGCTCAAAACCTGAATTGTTGAACCAAGACTTTTTTGACAGATGTGGTGTACCTGGACTTTCAGAAAGCCTGTGATACCACCTAAAAGACTATTAAAGAAGATTAAAGGGTTGGAACAATGGGGGGTGGGGTGGTGGTTGGAAGGGGGAGTGGTGGGGCTGTGTGGGGGATAGCCAGTTGGTTCAAAAATGAAGAGTAGAAGTTAACAATGGTTCCCAGAGTGGTTGGAAATGAGCAGCACTGTTCTGCAGAAAACCATATGATTATCTTTGATAAATGCTTATGTAGGGCTAGAGGGAGTGCTGCACAAATTTATACAATAGTAAAACAGGGTGCATGGCAAATGATTCTGAGGACAAAATGGAGCTAAGAGTGAAATGGATAAAGAAATGACTAGTGGAATTTAATGTCAGTAAGTGTGAGGTGATTATACTTTGGGGAAATGTTGGGTGATGTTGAACAGTGGAGGGATTTGAGATTTCATATTTACAAGTCTTTAAAAAGCAGCAGTACAAGTGGATAAGGCCATAAAATGCTGAAGTTATACTGGGTTTAAAGTGAGATGTTTAGAATATACACATATAAAAGAAAAATAAGATGTCATGGTGAATCTTTGTCAAAACTTAGTTAGATGAAAAATTTGCAGTTTAGGTCTTGCAATTATTCTTTACACTGCAGAAAGGAAATTGAGATATAATATAAGAAGGCTGCCTGATATACAACATCAGGAAATATGGGCAGAAAGATTTTGAAAAATTGGAGCTGATTCTGATTGAAGAATTGAAATTGTAGGGTGACTTTACTAGAGTTTTTTAAATGATGAAACAATGGGCCAGAAATTGTTCCATAAAACTAAAGCCTACAATGAGAAGCATAGGGCTCAATGTAAGTCCTTTTGAATAGGAGACAGGAGCAACCTCTCTACAGTGGGTGGTGTGAGGCTATGGACTGCAGTCAGAGTTAGCAACTGAACCAGAAACCATGTCAACTGGTAGAGAGAGAAGTGGTTGAAATAAATCACATTTGGAAATTGAGAGGGCATATGGGATTAAAACTACTACTTTGGAGGATAAGCACCAACTGCATATTTTTGCAATGTCTCTATGATTCTGCATAACTCAAATCTTCTCGGGCACTTAAAAACTTGAAGGAACATCATATTCATCTACTATCGTCACTTCATTTCAGATGGCAATGTCTGGTAGCTAACCTAATTCTTTTTCACACACGTAACTGCTACTCTTACTATCCCTATTCATTTCAAATAATCTAAAGCTGTCTAACTTGGGTATATCCAATCCCCACTGCATTTTAAAAAATTCAATCACATTTCCTCTCAGCTGGATTTTAACTGTAAAGTAAACATTGTCTGGTATCATGTACAGCTCCAATCAAATTATGGCTCTGTACTAACAATCCATTCACATTAGCTTGAAAGCTTGTTATTTGTATTGCTGGACACTTTGTGCATTTAAATATCTGAAAGAGTATTTTTGGGATGGCTATGTTGATATGGGTTTGCCAGTCATGCAGTTCTGTGGCAGGCAACCTGATTTTTTCTGATCCGATTTAAAGTTTAACCTTTAGAATAAATATGTATTTTCCATTCTCTCTATATGTAGGCAAGTACTCATGATTATGCCTCTCAGCAAGTTCTGAATAATGGCAAAGCAAACATACTTTAAGTGGTTTTGAATGGCTGATAAATCTGATATGGCAAGGAAGCTTAACTGCTGCTGACCCCTTCCATGTTGGCTGTAAAATGTTGATTCCTACTGTTGAGATTTTGACACCTTGTGGAAGTGGATAGGGTGTAAGCAGAGTATCTCACTTGCCCTGCATAATGCTCCTTACCCTCTCGATAGTTGGCAATCGTGCTGTCTTATCACCTTGATCACATCATTAACTCAATTACATTTTACGCTAAAGCTTCTTAAAAAGTTGCAGATCCTTTGTCTTTGATGACACGTTGGCAGTGCAGGGAAGGCTAGTATTTGTTGCCCATTCTTAGTTGTCCTTGAACTAAATGACTTCCTAGGCCATTTCAGAGGGCAGTAAGAGTCAACCCCATTGTTGAGTCTGGTGTCTGGATCTGACCAGATAAGGACATTAGTGAATCAGATGGATTTTTATAAGTTGATATAGTTGTTGTAGCCATCATCACTGAGACTAGCTTTTTGTTTCCAGGTTTACTAATTGAATTTAATTTCCACCAGCTGCATTAGCCTGGGCCTCTACGTTGCTAGCCCCATGGCAGTACCACTACACCACCACCTCCGCCATCTGCGTTTGTCAGCAGTGACTCAGCCGTTAGCTCTCAACTTTGGATCACAAGGCTTCATGTACTGCTGGAGGCTTGGAGCACAAAAATCACATCCAGAGCACTACTGTGGGAATGCTGGACTGTTAGAGAGGCCATCGTTTGGATGGGACATTAGAACTGAGGCTCTTCCTACCTGCTTGGGCCGATCTGATGATATGGTTTCGGAGAAGAGCAGGAAAGGTCTTGCGCAGACCTGGAGCCAATATTTATCCCTCAACCAGTATCACTAAAACTGACAGTTTGATCATTAGCATTTTGTTGTTAGCAGGAGTTCCTGTGTGTGACTTGGCTGCTGCTACATTACGTTGCAACACTGTAGAGGTACTTAATTGGCTGTAGAGTATTTTGTGATGTCTGGTAGTTGTGAAAAACCAAAGCTTTTCTTTTTGCTTCTGCGCAAATTCTTAATGTTTACCTCACACTTCCACACCTCATCTCATGTAATACTTACAAGATGAGCATATGACTCAATGTTGAAACACCAATTTTAATAACTAGAGTTAGCATGTAATGTCAGGATGCAAAATTTCAAATTAAACAATTAATTTAAAACGTTATTAATTCTGATGTAAGGTCACCTTAAAATAATGCTTTTCATACTATTTAGAGCAACTTTCCAAATTATGTTAAAAAAAGTATATATATTTAGGACTGAATCATTTTTAATTATGATTTTGTTTTAAGATTAATGACAAGAAAATTCCAATTTATATTGAGGAAGTTGGCTTTGAATGTAAATGAAGGATTATAATCTTCCAATGATGAGCCTACCCTGTCAGTTGTTACCCCAAGGTCTTTTGGAGAAAGATCACAAGATTGCAGTTATTAGTTCACTGAGTGATGAACACTGGAAGCAGGTTAGGAGGATCGTGTGGAGCTGGAGGAACACAACAGGCTAGGCAGCATCAGAGGAGCAGGAAAGTTGATGTTTTGGATCAGGACCCTTCAGAAATGGGGAGACGGAAGGGAGCTGGGAAATAAATAGAGAAGGGAGGGGTGGGCTGGGGAAGGTAGGTTGGATGGTGATAGGTGGGTGCAGGTCGGGAGTGGTGGGGATTGGTCAGTGGGATGGGTGGGGCGGATAGGTGGGAGAGAAGATGCACAGGTTGTGTCAGGTCAATGAGGTGGGGATGAGAGGGAGGGTTGGACATGGGATGAGGCTGGGGGTGGGGAGATCATGCCCATTTAGAATCATGGAATCCCACAGTGTGGAAAGAGGCCATTTGGCCCAATACCCTGCATGGCAATTTAGCATGGCCAATCCATTAAATTGCACATCTTTGGACTTAATTTCTTCGAGTTCAGCTTCAGTCCTTTGAAAAAATACATTTTACTTTGAAGATGTTCAGAGTTAAACAAAAATCTAAGCTGTGAAACTTGTTGACTTCCATGAATTTCTTGAAATAATTACAACTTTTATTGATTAAATATTAATCTTATTGTCTTGAACCTTATCCATCAGGTTTAAAGCTTTTCAAAATTTGTTAATAGAAAATTTTCAGTTGATGGAATATGCTGCCCTTCATTACTAAGATGTCTTATGACTTCACCTGAGTAAATAGCTAATAAGATGCTTGCTTTTCAATTTGTTTACTCTTTTCCATCCTTTCACTTGCTGGTGCATATTGTGTTTCTGGATTCTTTATGCAAACTCACCAATTACACACATGGGTTTGGCAACCTGCAAGTCGCTTCAGTTTATCTGAAGACTACACTTTTAAGTGCACATGTTACAGGATGGCTCAAACAGCAACAAGCAGCACTCGTAACAAAAACTGTAACTTAAGCTGTAGCCACATTGTTTTTTGGTTACATGCTGCTTTACATCCTGGTTCCTTAATGGCATGTACATCATTTAAGGTGAGAGGAGAGAGATTTAAAAAAGACATGACGAGCAAATTTTTTACAGAGAGGATGGTTCGTGTGTGGAATGAACTTCCATGGGAAGTAGTGGATGCGGGTACAATTACATTTAAAAGACATCTATAAGATTGTTGTTTTGAGGAAGGGTCACTGGACCCGAAACGTTAACTCTGTTTTTTCCTTCACAGATGCTGCCA